TTAACCCATCTAGAGTTGAACTTTTTAATACTTATACTTTAATTAACGATGGGTTTAAAATATGTATTAAAGTAAAGTTTAAACATTGTTTATGTTAGCATATGTAATTCAAACACTAATAAATTGGAAATTAGAAAAAGTTTTATGAGCATATTCGAGGAATTTTATTTTAATATTTACAGTTTTGTTTATATTTTTAAGGATACAGAAAGAGATTTTTATGCAAGAAAATGTTGCGTAAGCTATTCTAAATATAAAGTATTATTTTTATATATCCTATTTAAATTCTGACTAGACAATCTTGTGTAATGGTACTATGAGTCCAATAAAGCTTTTTTTTTTATTCCATACTAGATGCATAGTATTCATTTTTGTGCAACTTTGTTTTCGTCATCCCTTGAGAACAAAATGCTGTCTCTCATTACTAAATTTAAAGTCTCTCAGATTATTTCTCGTGGAGTTATGGCAAAAAAAACCCTATTAAAGTAGTGCTTCTCAAACTTTCAATATTTGCGACTCAATATTCAATCATAATTTTCATCGCACCCCCCTCCATACAATAACATTGAATTGAATTCAATAATACTATACTTTGACACTAAAGTTACAATACGACTTTAACCTCTTATGCGCCACTGGCATATATAAATGTATCACTCAGAGAAAGCGTTAAATGCCTCCAACGTATATATACGTCTTTCCGAACTACGATCTTTTCTGTCCACTGCTACCCATAAAATTTTTCCAATGGCTTTGGAATACAATAAAAGGACCTTGACAGTGTTTGCGAAGTATTTAATTATTTCAGAGAAGGTTTTATTTATTTATTCCTTTTCTTTTCCCCGCCCCCCCCCAAAAAAAAATCACATAAGCGTACCTATGTGGAAAACTGAGACATTGGGGTGCGAATCCCGTAACTTTTAATAGGCAGTTTTTGGATTAATTATAAACCGTAAAATTATCCAGGTAAGTGTTGATTTTTGTAAAAATTTTATATATGACAAGCCCATGGGGTCACTGTAATTCTTCTTAACTTAGTATTGTTAAATTAATAAAATACATTGTGCGTTACTGATACATTTATCAGTGCAAATGTGTATTTTATATTTTATTAAGTTAGAAAGTATTTTATTTGTTTACTTTCAGTAAATTAATACTTTTTGTTTAAATAATCTTTTGTTTTCGACTTTTCGATAGGCTCGCGCCCCTCTAGGGGGCACGCCCCACAGTTTGAGAAATGATGCCTTAAAGTTAATTAGCACAACATAATTGCTCCACAATTCCAATAGTTTATTATGAATGAATCAATATTGCAAAGTTTAAAAACAATAATAAATAATGTATTTCAGATATTTGAATGAAAAAAAAGATACTAACAACCTTAAAACTTATACTGAAATAAAACTTGAAAATGGAAAGGTTTTCCACTCCACATATCCTTCTAAAGGATAATCGAAAACGAAATGTTTCACCCTCTAAACACGTTACAACAATCTCATAATACAAGATTCAAATATACCGGAATCGAAAGCCAGAAAATTGAACGGAATCTTTTTAAAATTCAAGACGTTTATCGCGTTTACCGAGTGTGTCACGAAAATGGTCTAAGAATTCGTTTCGATGCGTTTGTGAAAAAAGTGACTTGAAACTTCGACTGATATGGCACAGAATGGCTTAAATTATATTATCAAATGTTCCGTAATGTTCTGAAAGATAGGAAATTGTTCAGTTGAATGGTATTATAAGAGGTGCTTTTTCTTGCATTAGGAAAGAAATATTGACGGGTCATATAGGTGGTTTCTAAAGGATTTTTAAGTCAGCTCTGCGTTTAAAATTGTTGCTTTTTTATCGTAATAAAAATTTTCCCCAAAAATGTCTACCATTAGCGTATTTAAATAGCTATTTTTTTTTTTATTGCTCATCTCTACGCAATTTTGATGCAACTTGAGATAGAAATAAGAATTAAACTTAGTTTAATTACAAGAAGAAACATTTCAACAACCATCCCACTATAAGGTTTATATAAATACACGTTAAATGTATAAACAAGTAATATAAAAAAAAATTTCAAGTCAATTCCTACTTAGACCAACAAAGAAAAATTTGTTTTAGCTACTTTTTTATTAAATAGTAACAATTAATATAAATGTAGGATATCCCATTTGTAAAAAGTTAGATCATATCCTTTACCGAGGTCGGCAATTCTAATCAAAACAGTATTCCACATCAACGCCATCTAGCGTCCCTTTTAAAAACGCCGACATGAATCTTTTTCGCCAGAGGCCCACTAACACCCGTCGAGAGAAGTCGTGTTTCGCGCGTCAGCGCACATTCGTCCGCGCCAGGCGGTAAATCTTAATAGCACCATAATGAGTTCTATTTAATGTCAATTGCCTCCCTTAAAGTAAAGTGATCTAACTTTCCTATTCTTCCGAAATATGCTTATCTAACTTTCCTATTCTTTTGAAATATTCCCCATGTAAATACTCCCCTATAATTCTTAATAAATTATTTAGTTATCAACTAGTTTCTTTCTTGAACTATGTTGTCTGTTTTATTTCGAAAATAACTAATACACCCTAAAAACCCCTAGACACCACGCCATAAAAACCCCGCTATCTGAAGAATCCAATCTTTTTGGAAGATTTCGGTTGGATTCCACAGAAATATGTATATACATAGGACAGAATCACAACATTAAGGGGTAATTAATTTTTATTCATTTTTATTAAAGTGTCGTATTGTCATCCAAAACAATCGTGCATTTAAAATTTCAGTTCAACAGAATGCTTTAAAACGTGAGGAAAAAAAACCTTTTCAAGTTTTGACACGTCACCAAAAAGGATGCCAACGTGATTGTATTTGTAATTCTTTAAAAAATTAGTTTTAATCAATAAATTTTATCAATTATAATTAAATTATTGTGTATTGTCATCCAAAATAATCATGTATATAAAATTTCAGCTCAATGGAGCTCTTTAAAATGTATTTTATTAACGATTGAAAATTCCACCGGGATAAATAAATAAATATATAGAGAGAGAGTGTGAGCTCTAATAGTAGATTTTGAAAAGTTATCTTCAGTCTGCTGATTTTCCATAATTATTAATAACAATATAGCGAATAAATGAATATTCTTTAAAAAGATAAATGAGTGGCGCGACCGCCCATGAAGGCCTACTGTGCCCAACTCAGTATACATGACCTTGGGCTCTGAGGTGCATGAGCAGATGTTAGGGTCAGGTGGTCAGTTGGACGCGAAACCCCCAGTGTTAAGTTCCCAAGCAAGCTTGGTACTCATTTATCGACCCACTGAAGGGATGAAAAGCTGAGTCAACCTTGGCCAGTCCAGGGTTTGAACCTCAGACCTGTGGTGTGGAAGCTTAATGCACTCACTCTGCCACTGGGCTTAAAAAAGGCAAAACTTTAAAATGTATATTTAAATTAAGATTTCAGCAATACTCATAAAATGAATATCTTTCTGTCCGCATGACATCTTTTTATTTATTTTTTCTAGTTGTTTTTAAAAATGGAAAATAAAACGAATAGATAGGAGGATATGTATTTCTTTATGTGTTATGCGCATCAGAAATTGAATTGAAAACTCACATTCTATTTTGTGAATTACGGATAAGAGGTAGGCCATGGGATTATTCAATTGTTTTTTGGGACCACTTGACAGACTCTTCTAAGTTTTTCTCTCTTTATCAATGAATTATGGGCTGGTAATTAATAACTGCGTGAGGGAATGAGTGTTTATTTACGTCAAACTATAAAGCAGGGCTTCTCAAACTTACAATATTTGCAACCCAATATTCAATCATAATTTTCATTGCCCCCTCAATACAATAACAATATATTGAATTCAATAATACTATGCTTTGATGCTAAACATACATTTCGACTGTAACCTCTTAAGTGCCACCACCAACGTCTCCCTCAGCCAGTGCATTAATTGCCTTGGATGTATATTTACGTCTTTCCGAAGTACGAACTTTTCTGTGCATTGTTATCCATAAAATTATTCCGAAGGCTTTGGAATGCAATAAAATGACTTTGACAGTGTTTGCGAAGGATTTACTTATTTCAGAGGATTTTTTGTTTATTTATTTCCCTTTTCTACTCCTCCCCCTTCCTCAATACACCACATACGCTCGACTACGTGTTAAAAGATTGGCGTTGGGGAGCGTATCACGTAATTTTTAATCAGACCGCACAAATTATCAAGAACAGTGTTAATTTTTGTGTATAATTTTATATATGACAAGCCCATGGAGTCATTAGTAATTATTCAACTTTTTTTTAAAATTTAGTATTGTTAAATAATTAATTATAAAATACTAACTGCCCGAGATAGACGTTGTCCTGCATACACGTTTTGAATCCAAAAGTTTCAAACTTTTTTGAATAAGTTGACGAAAATTGATATACTTGATACCGTTTTGATGAAAATTTTTATAAGAAAATTTATTTCAATACCTGACGTCATCACTTGCACAGTTACCACAATTCGACCTATCGATTGCGTGCGAGTAAGTGTTATACTATGAACTAGAATATAGTAGAAACTATTCTGAATAGAAATCTTATATTGTTTTAGTTAAATGATAAAAAAGGTAAAACTCGAGCTATTTTTATAACAGGTATATTTTTAATGCACAATAAATAAATTTATCGTAATGCCAATTAATGCACAATATTTTTGATTAATCCTTGAGGGGTATAAATAAACAAATGCGATGGTTTGCCAACCCTCGGACGCGCAACATATAATTGGCTATGCGAAAAACAAAATTTTCCCCTCTTTTATTACTTTTTTCTTTTTTGAAGTTATACTTCTTTTGGGGCGTTAGAGAAATAGGATGAGGGTAAATTTTTTACAATGTGCGCGCACACCGTCACGGATGCGAAAATCCTTTGTCTAGAAATATACAGAACGGGACAAATCATTCCCGCCTTCGAAATTCTCAGAAAAATATTTCTCTTCACTTCCCTGAAGAAGGGGACACCCGGGTTCTAACCGGAGACCTCTCGGTCTACAGCCAAATGCTCTACCACTGAGCTATATACCCGAGTCAGCGAACCTTTGCTTTGTGTTCCGCAGGAACGTATACGAAAATGCTTTGTCTAGAAATATACAGAACGGGACAGATTATTCCCGCCTTCGACCCCCTCCCCATATTATTGGTCCTATTGTCCCTGTGCGGGGTGTTTAAATTTATTTAAATCGTGATTATCTCAGGTTTGGCTAGTCCGATTGACTGAAGGTTAATATCGTTCAACTCTGCTCGTGACCGCCTTTCGTCCTTGGCTCTGCTTGCCCTGCGAAAGATTTTAATCTTGTTACACCAAAGAAGTATAACTTCTTACGTGCGTACATAAGTACACACACACTTTTTTTTTCTTTTTCCTCGCATTAGCGGAATAAACAACACACAGGGATAAAACAATTATGCATTTTAAGGTATTTTATGAATATTTTTTTTAACTAATTGTGTGTGTGCTGTATCGGACCGAATTGTGAATCTAAACCATTCTCAAATCCACTTGAACCCACACAAAAAATGTCATCAAAATCGGTCCAGCCGATTAGGAGGAGTTCAGTCACATACACATGCACAGATGAATTATATAAAGATATTGTGCATTACTGATAAATTTACAAGTATATTATATTAGTGTAAATGTGTATTTTATTTTTTATTACGTCAGAATGTATTTTGTTTGTTTACTTTCAATAAACTAATAATTTTTTTAATAATTTTTCGTTTTCTAATTGTCGATATGCTTGTGACCCCCTCATAGGGTTATCACACTCACCTAAGGGGCGCTAGCTCCCCACAATTTGAGAAGCGTAGCTTTAAAGCAATGCAAGGGCCTGACGACACTTGACCTGGTATCTATCTCCAAACTACCACACCACGACGACATGAGAAACTTTGAGGTTTGACAAATTTAGCATGTATCGGCCCTCTATACACAGCGGGTTTTCAGTGTGACACAAGGCCAGAACTCATGCCATGACGGCCAAGAATCCATGATCATGAACACTAGGCTGCAACGGTCTCTAAGTAGTGATTGAAACTGAGAATTTAACTAATATTTTATCAATATTAATTGCCTTTAAAATTGAAAATATCTTTTCTCATCTGTATTATGAAGTGTGTAATTATAATAAGGAAGATAGGAAAAATCTTAAGAAAAGTCTTTGTTTTTAAGTCTGTTTTAAAATAGAAACTTTAGAGAGAATCTTTTTTTATTACTCTTAACCTTCTCACACTTGTTAACATTTTTTTTTTTTTTTTACAGATTTTAAAATTATTTTATTTCATTCAATTTTACTGAATTTTAAGATATCCGACTACGTTCGGAATCGTGATTTTAAAAAAGAGCATAAATGGATAATTTTCATGATATTCAGTGTCACTTAGATTAGAATACTTGTATAAAAGTGTTGTAAGGATATATTTTGACAAAAAAAATTTATTTAAGTACAATATTTTGGCAAAAAATTAACAGAATAATATTTTTTAAAATGTTCTCCTTTTATAAAAAAAATGCTTCTAAGATAATAATATTTCGCGCTTATATAAAGTAAAGACTTCTCCAGAAAGTCTGAACTAGGGATTTTGAAAAATTCACATTATTCTCAGAGTTACAACCCATTGAAATAATTATCGGCGTTTTTTTTCTTAAAATTTATCCCCTCTTTTGTCGTTAAAATATGGATAAACCCACTTCTAAGATATACATTTCAAAAATTCTAGTTGAGCCTCTATAGAGAGGTCTGGGCTATATACTGGCAAAATATTATTATAATACAAGTTTTTTTTCACAAAAGAATATTTTGAAAAGGGGTCATTCTCTATGTTCATTTTTTGCCAAAATAGTGTACTTAAATAATTTTTTATTGTAATACTATTCTTAAAACAATTTTAAATACATTTTCTAAACTAAGTGACACTAAATATCATAAATAGTATCCATTTATACGCTTTTGCAAAATCACGGTTCCGAACGTATAGTCGGATACCTTAAGTCATATAAAACTATACAGCTCTAATTGATTAGTTACTCAAATTTTGTCTAACTTCAGTTTATTATGGTCTCTATACTTTCATGTTAAAGTAAAAATTAAAGCACGAATATAAGAATCGTTTTAAAATAAAATTTAGCATGCATCAAAAATTGCCTCAAAGCAAAATAGCGTTCTTGAGTTACTTTCTCCATTTGCATATGGAAAAGAAAATTTATCAATTCCAAAAAATTGATTCCCAGTTTACAACAAATGTAAAAGAAATCAGATGAAAGGAAAACATATTTTGTTTACGTGTTTTCAAATTCAGTAGAAGTTGGTAATTCTTTTGACTAGATACTTTACTGCTCGTATCGGACTTTGCCAAGTTTCAAATGTAAACTGACTGAATAATGGGATAAGAGACTCAATTTACATTTTCATGGAATGTTCAAGAAGGAGAGTAGAAAATGTTTTGATGTTGTTTTCAACTGTATTTTTGCCAGAAAAAAATGAAAGAAATTCCCGGTAAATCTAAAAGGTATCACAATCCTCAAAGTTATCATATCAGGGATCTTCATACAAATAGAATAATATTTCTTAAAAATTTATTATTATGATACTGTAACTTTTTTAAATAAATTTAGTGTGTTTATAATACGTAGTTACACTTAACCCTCCCCCTACTAAAATGGAAAGTTATTGCTAAAATTTTCTAAATTAAATATGTATTTTAAAGCAAAATCAATGTAAGAATGAAGAAAAAACGCATTTCTTTATTTTCCCATTAATATGAAAAATTCTCTAAATTGTAGAGAGTTTTGTCAGCAATGTGGAATCATTACTTAAGGTATCCGATTACGTTCTGAACCGTGATTTTTCAAAAGCGTATAAATGGATAATATTTATGATATTTAGTGTCACTTAGATTAGAAAATGTATATAAAATTGTTTTAAGAATAGTATTAGAATAAAAAATTATTTAAGTACAATATTTTGACAAAAAATGAACATAGAATGACCCATTTTCAAAATGTTCTCTTTTTGTGAAAAATGCTTCTATTGTAATAATATTTTGCCTGTATATAGATCAGACCTCTGTACAGAGGTTCATCTAGAATTTTTGAAATATATAACTTAGAAGTAGGTTTATCCATGTTTTACGACAACAGAGGGGAGAAATTTTAAGAAAAAAACGTCGATAATTATTTCAATTGGTGGTAACTCTGAAAACAATGTGAATTTTTCAAAAATCCTAGTTCAGACTCTCTGATGAAGTCTTTACTTTCTGTAAGCGCGCGCGAAACATTAATATTATAGAAGCATTTTCTATAAAAGGAGAACATTTTGGAAAAAGATCATTCTAAGTTAATTTTTTGCTAAAATATTGTATTTAAATAATTTTCTTTGTCAAAATATCCTTAAGACAATTTTATACATGTTTTTTAATCTAAGTGACACTAAATATCAGGAAAAGTATCCAGTTATGCGCTTTTTTTAAAATCACAGTTCCGAAAGTAGTCGGATACCTTAAAGTGAAATGAAAAATTTATTTTTGATTTCCTGAAATTTATTTTTAAGAGCTCAAGAGTTAAAAAATAATTAAGTTGGTATGCCAATAAGATTTCCATATACCAACAGCCTTTTTCATTTCAAGACTAACAAAGTTAAAATTTAAAACTTAAGACAAAGTAAAAGGGAAATAAGACATCATGTATTGTGGGGAAACATAGCTTTTTCTACTAATACATAATACCGTGACAAGATGAATAAAACCTTAATTAACAACTGAAAAAGATGATCAAGTGGCTGCTTTTCCTGTTTTCTGCATCATTACATTTATATTCAACTTCAGAATGTCTTTGAATTTAAAAATAATTAAGAATTGAAAGATATTCTTGATAAAAGTTGTTAGTTTTCTTGAAACAAGTAACATTAAAAAAAATTTATGACAATTAATACTTAGATCAACATAGAAAAATTTTATTTTAGCTATTTTTTATTAATTAGTTACAATTAATATAAATATATATATACATAGGACACAGAATCACAACACTAAGTGGTCATTAATTTTCATTAATTATCATTAAAGTATCGCATTGTCGTCCAAAACAATCGTGTATATAAATTTCATTTCAACTGAATACTTTAACACTTGAGAAAAAAACCTTTTCAAGTTTTGACACAAGTCACCAAAAGGGTCGCTAAGTCGTCAAAAATGATACCAACGTGGTTGTGTGTTTGTATTTGTAATTCTTTAAATAATTAGTTTTAATCAATTAATTTTTATTAATTATTCTTATATTATTTTATTGTCATCCAAAATGATCTTGTATATAAAATTTCAGCTCAATGGAGTGCTTTAAAATGTATTTTATTAACGATTGAAAATTCCACCCAGATAAATAAATAAATATATAAATAAATATATAGAGATTGTGAGCTAATAGTAGGAATTGAAAAAGAAGGAAATTTTTATGAAGATTTGCAACACAAATGAAAACTTAAAAAAAATTCGAATTAAATTTTAACCAAGTCATTTGCTCATTTTAGGTATCTTAAGAAAATATTTTCGTTTTACTTTTAATGAATGATTTTGCTTGACATGATGTAAATTTAAAATTATTCTCTCTATCATGATTTTTGCGGTACAGGATTAATTACAACAAGATCAGAAAAATAATTACGCATAGTCGTTGTTGCAATGGATTAAATATTTTCATTAAAATTTTTTTCGAGCTGTAATTGAAATTTGCTCGTTTTTATTTAACTTTATTTCATGGTTATAAAGATTGAATTTTGTAATTGGATTTTTACTCATTTCCAAATGTTGTGTTTTAAAACTCTATGCATTTGTATGTTGGCAATGACAATCTCATGCATTAATATTTTCGTATATTTAAGCTACGTAAAGCATACTTTAAAGTATTATAATTGTCGAATAATAAATTATTTTTAATTAAGTTTTGATTCGATTGAAAAATAAATTTCATCATCAATCAATCGGTAAAAATTATAGGAGAAATATATGCAATAGGAATGTTTATAAACACT